AGAGAGAGAGAGAGAGAGAGAGAGAGAGAGAGAGAGAGATAGAGAGAGGGAGAGAGCGTGACCCCACTTACATGCTCAATTACCCAATCATATATCGAAGTCACTGACGTATACGTATGCCTGTTTATTAAATATACATATTATTAGCCGTAACTATAATATCCTGCAAATTCGAAGATGCTTTGTTAGTGAACGTGACCCTACTTGTATGCCGAATCGCCCAATCTCATATCGTGATCACGTTTATTTGGCATTGACATAGCCTTCCCCTCTCCTCTACTCACATGTTATTTGATCAGCACTTAGACCTAATCATTTGTGTTGGTACTTATAACTCACTCACTTCCCCTTCGTTATCTTTCTTTCTCGACCTTGCGCTGTCTCCAATTCCCCCTCACTCCGACTGTCGCTCTCAATGCACTTGGTTGTTCAACTATAATTACGTTGCTATTTTGTAGCCTAATTTATTATATAATTAGAACAGGCCATCGATTTATCGACATGAAATAACTCCAAATATAGTTCAATAATTCTAGCATCATATTATTTGAGCATATCGAGACGACAAACCATAGAAAATCTACGAACTGGTTAGGCATTACACGCACGCGCACGCGCGCACATACGCACGCACGCATAAACACACACACACACACACACACACATATACATACACAGACGCGCGTCCAATCAGATACTCTTGTCTTCTTCCTCTGTACGTAATGATCCGACCGACCATACACCCCATAATATATACCAAAACCGCAGTGTCATCGTCCTCTTTACGCATACCCCCCCCAACCACCGCCACACAGATACGCAGCACAAGATCGCCATTCTATAGCCGCACGCGTTCAATCAGCTTTGTTACGTGTACTCGGATGTTAATGCCGCTCGATGATATGATTGCAACATTTCATCTGCATGCTCACGTGGCCACATAATGGCGGCATATCGTGTGCGTGTGTGCATCCGCCGCTAGGATCCGGTTCTAGCTGCGGCATATACGCTCCTATGATTTACTCCCCTCTCTCTCGCTCCCTGTGTAGCCGATATTCGATTAAGTTTTACATTCCGCGGGCGATTGAAAATAACTCCCCGAAGGCACGGACATTAGAGACACCGGTTCGGTGGCCCTGATTGAATTTTCTTCTCGCGCGGCGTCGGAAGAGTCAAGGGAATGCCGCCGCGTGCGTGCGTGCGTGCGTGCGTGAGTGCGTGCGTGCGTGCGTCCCATTTTACACTCTTACTATTTTTCCAACTCTTCGTCCTTCTCGTCCTCTTACCGTCATCTCTCCCTCCTCCTCATCCCCGCCCTTCTCTTCTTCCTCCTCCTCCTCCCCTCCTGTTATTCTCTTTTTACTCCTCTCCTTCCTCCTCCTCCTACTTTCTTACTTGTATATATATATATATATATATATATATATTCGTATATGCTTGTCACGAGAATTAGCGCCACGCGCGACACGGCGAAAGGCGATCTCGCGCATATCATCTATATAAGCCCCCGCGCACACCGGTGGCGATTTTTCACGAACAGTACCGTGCGATTATTTATCGCCGTACTGTCGATAAAAGTCGCACGTGTGCGCCAACCGGCGAAATTCAACCGTCTGTCAGCGACATACCACTGTATGAACTGTAACGCTTGACCTGTTCAAACACCAACCACGTGGCGCTTGCCAATATTTGTATCACGTGCTTCAAATCATGCATTTGTTGGTTTAATCCAAAACTGTTTGCCGGGATCCATCGCCAGTGCGGCGCACACGTAGCGATTGTTCAGCGACTGGGCAACAAATATCACATGTTTGATATTCCAGCGACGGAGTTTCCTGGCGTCAAAATCGGTGACGCCGGCAGCGCACACGTGGCGATTTCTCGGCGATTTTGTGCTGGCAACAGAATCGCGCGGTTCTGTCGACAAAAATCGCCACGTGTGGCGCCGGGCTTATATATATCTCTCTCTCTCTCTCTCCTCTCTCGCGCGCTCTCTCTCGCGCTGGCGGCTCTCTCTGCCTCTCTCTCTCTCTCTTCTTCTCTCTCTCTCTCTCATCCTTTCTCTCTCCTCTCTCTCTCCTCTCTCTCTCTCTCTAATATATATTATACTTACATATATATATACACTCGCTCTTCCTCGCTGATGACAGCATCAGTAGTTCTTGTGCGTTGCGTAGCGCGGCCATCCCGTGACCTTGATCGTTACGAGTGTGTCCATCATGCATCGACCTAAATGCACAAACTCAGCTAATCGACTACGCTCTGACTTCCTCAAGACTGGCGCTGCTGCTGCTGCTGCTGCTGCTGCTGTTGGTTGGTGTGTGATGAGGTGGTGGTGGTGGTGCTGCTGCTGCTGGCTGCTGCTGTGCTGCGTGTTGTTGTTGTTGTTGTTGTTGTTGTTGTTGTTGTTGTTGTTGTTGTGTTGGTGGTGGTGGTGGTTGTTGTTGTGTTGAGTGGTGGTTGTAGTGGTGGTGTGGTGGTGGTGGTGGTGGTGGTAGTGTGGTGGTGGTAGTGTGGTGGTGTGGTGAGTGGTGGTGGTGGTTGGTGGTGCTGCTGCTCGCCTGCGGCGCTGCCTGCTGTGTGGTGGTGGTAGTGGTGCTACTGCTGTTGCTGCTGCTGCTACTGATGATGGTGCTGCTGCTGCTGTTGTTACAGTTGATACTGCTGTCCGCCGCTGCCGCTACTGCGCTACTGTTGTTATCATTGCTGTTGTCACTGCCGCTGCGGTCACGCCCTCGCATCCGTCGCCATTGCGCGCCCACTAATCTACGTTATTAACGATTAATCAATCTCTATACCCGCACGCATTTAGCATTCCGACCTCGTCCTGTTCCGCTCGCTCTGGCCGCCCGCGAAGCCGGGCGCGCGTTTAATGTGAGGAAGAGAGAGAGAGGAGAGAGAGAGAGAGAGAGAGAGAGAGAGAGAGAGAGAGAGAGAGAGAGCAGGGGAAGAGAGAGAAAGAGAGAGAGAGAGAGAGAGAGAAGAGAGACTAGAGAGAGAGAGAGAGAGAGAGAGAGAGAGAGAGGGAGAGAGAGAAAGCAGAGGGAGGGAGGGAGGAGGGTGTTTGGGGATTCACACTCTGGGAGATCGACCGATGTTCAGCGTCTCACATCGCTACTCTCACTGCTGCTGCTGCTGCTGCTGGCTGCTGCTGCTGGTGGTGGTGGTGTGCTACTGCCGCCGCTGCTGTTGCTCGCCTGCTGGTGATGCTAGTACTGCTACTCTCGCTGCTGCTGCTGCTGCTGGTGGTGGTGGTGGTACTACTGCCGCGCTGCT